GGATCCTGATTGAAACAAACCAACTATAAATTTTATCTGTTAAAGATACATACTGAAGTTTTTACGGCTGAAAGTACATGATTGCAGGGATTTGCTTTTAAAATATTCCCCCAAAAGAAAAAAACAGTGTGGGGGATAAACCGATGAAGCAAGATGCTAATAAATGTTGAAGCTGATGATGGGTGCTTGGAGATTCATTATAAAATAATCTCTCTACTTCTTTTGTATATTTGAAATTTTCCAGAAAAAGAAATTAAAATATATGTTGGGAGAGAGAGAGTTTATCTTCCATATGGCCACATTTTCTGCTGGAAGCAAGCATTTTATAATCAGAAAGGAATTGCTTAAGATACTTGTTAAGATACGGATTCTGGGGCCCTACTCCAGACCTACTGGATCAGAATCAGGGGACGAGGCATAAAAATCTGCATTCTTTTATAAGCTTCCCTATGAAGCACGCCAGCACAGGCCTGCTTGCAGCAGTTGAGGTTAGACGGCGCGAAAGGCCTCACTCTGAGATCCTATGGCTTTCAGTGGTCCCTAGATGAAGGCTGCACTACCAGCAGCTCTGAGAACGGCTGTAGTGCAGTGGTGGAGATGGGCGTCAAGCTGTAGGGTTTTGTGAGGCCAGTACACAGCAAGGAACAGGATACAGGGAAAGGGAAAGGAAATTATGCACGAGGGGAAGGCAGGATCAGTGCAAAATAGACCTTTCCAGGATTAGAGACCTGGGTATATTTTAAGGCTGAGAGCAGAAGCTGTTGGAGAGAAAGATTAAAGAGAGGAAAGAGACAAATTGTTGGGGCTCCAGCCCCATGATGGCAGGAGAACAGGGAAGCCTCCGTGGGAGAGGCTGGGTTTGGACTGCAGGAGGGAGAGAGCGAGCATGGCTCAGGTTATGGGAGTTTTAAGAGTGACACCCATGATTATCTAGAACTGCGTTATCCAGTACAGTAGCTGTGAGCCACATGTAGCTACTGAGCACTTGAAATGTGGCTAGTCTGAATTGAAATGTACTGTAAAAATAAAATACACATTGGATTTTGAAGATTTAATAAAAAGAAAAACAAGGTCAAATGTCTCAATCATTTTTACACTGATTTCTTGTCAAACTGATAATATTTTGGATATATTAGATTAAATGAAGTACATTAAAATTGATTTCACCTGTTTCTTTTTGCATTTTTTTAATGTGACTCCTAGAAAATTTAAAACTACATACGAGGCTTTTGAGGCTGGCATGATTAAACCATGCTGATCTGGAAGTTATAGAAGCCAGAACTAGGAGAAAAAAGAAACCCCGCAAAAAAGCCCTATCTCAAAAAATAAAAACTTTCTACAACCTCAGAATCCGCCTCATTCAGACTGAGGTTTAGCCAAATTGATGAAAAAAAAAAGTGCTTGCTAAGCCAACTAATTATCAGTACAAATAAAATCACAGTGGAAAGTATATAAAGATAATCTGTTCTCAGACACCATTTACATATAGCAATTAATTCAGTAATGATGAGTCATTTTCATCCATTCACTAAGGCAAGCCCTCAAGGCCCCACAAGGGGAAGGAAATCACCAACCAGCAAGCAATCCAGAGGAAGCATGCATACTGAGCACCTACTAAGTTCTGAGGATACAGAACAGGGAGGTGCCAAACTGGCCTCGGTATTATCCACACTTCAAAGGAATGAGGAAGAAAATGAGCCAGGGGAAAGTCAGTCCTTTCCCCAAGTCACATGCTCTTCCTTCCTCCAAACTCCTCTTCATTCAGATTTGCTTACGTTTCCCACCCCATGTCTGTCCCCACTTCCACATCTATTCTGTGAGTGGGCAGTGAGGTACTTTCTGGGTGCCATCTCCCTCCTCCCTCAACGGTTCTGACATCCATCACATCTTCCTTCCTCCCCCAACCAGCCTTGACTCTGTGGTATGTGGTTAGGGAGGTTTCCAACTCACAGGCAACCTTTCTGTTCCCCAAAGATAACACAGCGAGCAGTGGGTGTTTGCTTGCTGGTAATGTTATCTAAGATCAACACTAGCAGCACCTGCCTCCAGAGGCCTCCAGGGTCGGGATTAAGTGGAGGCTTCATGTCTCAGTAGGTGCCTGGTCACCATAGTTGGGGTTTTTTGGGGGGAGGGTGGGCTCTGAAAAAGCTGCAAGTCTTCTCTGAGGACTTGAGATTTCTCCCCACCCTTCTCCACCTTCAGTCCTTCTGGGACCTGGGGCCAAGAGGTCTAAGATCAGGTGGCCGACAAGGGTGAAGGCCTCCTGGGGACATGCTCGCATTCTGCTGGGACTGAAGGAGGGATTCCAGCCCCACAATAGGCTGGTGATAGTTTCCAGCAGGAGGGAGTCCCCCACATTCTACTGAGGGCTCAGTCCAACCCCTCTGTGCCTCCACTGTCCCTAGAGTCTCTACAAGGATCCGGTGCCCCCCGAAGTCCATCTTTCGGTCAGGTGGTCATTTGAAGGTCAGCTGTCTACTGCCTCAACATCCTCCCAACTGGCTGCCCTGCCCCATTCCCACCCTGCTCAGAGCAGGCTGATTTTCCCGGAATACCATGCTCACTGTGGAAGCAGGATGCTCTATCAGAGAAAGCCCTGAACTAGGGGTCAGGAACCTAGGGGGGAGTCCCAGCATTGCCAGTGAAGGTTGTGTGGCTTTGGGGCAAGTCTGGCCCTTCTGGCGTTCAGTGTTTCTTCCAGTGAAATAGAAGCTTCAGCCTCCCAGGTCTTTAAGGTCTTTCCAACTCTTTCATTATTCTGTGTTCTGTCACTCCTCTATTCGAGAATCTTCAGTGGCCTCCCTCCTACAGATAAAGCCCAAACTCCTCGTGCTAGCAGCTTTAAAGCTATGCATAACCTGACCCCAAATCTCCTTCTAGGCCTTTCCTTATGACCACCCCACCACCACCACTGCCACTCTCCTCCAAGCTACCCAGCCTTCTCATTGTTGCCCCAAAGACTCTACACCCAAGCCTCTGTTCACCTTCGCTCACGCCACTCTGCTTGCAGTGGTGCCCCCCGTTCGAGTCCTGCTCATTTCCACCATCTGCCTCTTTCATGGAGCCCTTCCTAACCTCCCAGCCCCGAGCCCTAGCCTGAAATGAGTTCCTCCTCTGAAATGCTAGAACTTCTGTGTAGATAACTCATTGGGCCCTCAGGAGTCCCTGCCTGGGCATCCAATTAGATGAAGCACTCCAGATAGGTGAGGAATCCGCTATAATGTTAATTAACTCTTCATCCAAGACCATGTGACTGTGGCCTCTGCTTGCAAGCCCTATGGGCCTGGCACAAAAATAGCTGTCATCTGCAGGACACCTTAGAGGTTATACAGGATCTTTACACCCGTCACCTCATTTAATCCTCGAAGCCACTATGAGAGGCAGCCCTGAAGCAAGGGGGACTATTAGTGACCTGCCTAAGGCCAATCAATTTATGAGTAGTTACCTGTGCCAGTACTAGGTCACAGCTCTTCTGCCCAGGTCCAAACTATTCCCTCAGAACCCGGCTGGAAGAAGGGGAGCAAACCGACATGTTAAGAAACACCAAGGCAGGCAGTCATGATGCACCACCCAGAAGAAATGTGGAATGACCCTACGCCTGCTCCTTGGAGAGGACACTTGGGAGCTTGTGCTGCCACCCCTCCCAGCAGCTTCCTCATCTGTAAAACGGGACCTCCCTCACTGGGGAGGCACGGGAATCGCATGAGCTGGCTTCTCCCTGCGCTCCAGACGTTTTTGGAAGCAGAGCAGCACTGATCAGAGAACAGCAAGTGTCAGAAAAGATCTTGCAGATCTAGTATCGACAGCCTCCTTCTATCACGGAGGAAGGGAGTTTCAGAAAGAGCAGCAAAGCCAGCCGGACCCCGGAACCACTCCTCTCCCTCACACCTAAACCGGGCCAGGCCCACGTAAGGACAGCCGGACCCCGGAACCACTCCTCTCCCTCAC